CCCAGTGAAAGATAACGAATCCCCAGAATAGCTTTGGGCGCAGACAGAAACTGGATTTAAAGCTGGAGAGCCTATGTTTTTTCAATTATTGCAACTTAAAATTGTAATTGGTGATTCTGTATCTAGCTGGATGCTAAGCGGATGTGCATTCATGTACAAGCGTGTGACAAAATTTCCCGTTTGCTGAAATTGTAATACTGGAGCAAAATAAGGAGATGTAATCCTATTAATGAAAGAATGGGGACGTCCCAGAGTCTCGTTTCCTTTCCGTGCGTGTAACTTTCCACTGGCTGTATTACGTGCGCTGCCGACTGGAAAACTTGTAATATTTTTGCTTCTGCAAACTCTAGCAAGGTGACCTTTTTTGTGACACTTATAACATTCAACCTGGCGAAATTTACAGTCTTGTCATTCGTGTCTCTCATCACAGCTCAGGCAAGGATGTAAGTCGGGGTTACCTATGAAATTTACAGGTTGTTGCGGTAAAGGTCGGTCATTTGAAAAAAACTTTATACCTTGAAAGCCAGGAATTAATGTCGTCGGAGGCCAGATCAAATCGCTCAGGTGGATGAGCAATAATTTGAGACGTCATAATAAGCCAAGAAAAATCCTTATTGCAAAAACCTGATCAAAGAAATAAGACAAGAAAGCACTACGTAGACAATGTTGCCCAAAGGTCGCAGTAGGACCGAAGCAACTAGTAATAGGGAAACTAAGAAGTAGGAAAAGGGGCAACGCTAAGCGCACTAGACGAGAAGTCACAACAACAACAACAACACTTGGTGGCCCAGAGGAATCTCCTTTTATAGTAAGTCAATGGAGTCCTCAGGACCCTCAGGGTATGGTCTTTGGTAGTTTAATTGACCTAACACCTGAAGCAAATGATGTTTGGTCTAATGATACAACACTGAGCTTTCTAAAGTGGTGCTAAACTGCATTGATTTCCAAGCTGTTTATGTGTGGCCATCTCACTGATAAAGGTTTTAAATGCTTGAATCATGGTAGCATTTGGTACGAACTCAAGTTTGGAAAATGAAGAAATTGAGAAGGAGCCTTACTTTTAAAACTTCGAGGTTTCTATAGAAGTCTAAGCCAAAGTACTTTCTGCAAATTAACAAGTTGGTGATTATTGTAGTAAAATACGCTTGTTTTAACTGCATCATTTTTGACATATAGCAGAAAACTTTTTAGAAGACATAATAGAAATTTTGAAAACGACATTTTGTCATAACAAGAAAACTGGTTTGTCAACAAGTCAGTTTTTTTATTAAATAGATTTAAAAGATTCAATTGTACTCGAAATTATTCATATTTCTGAAAAATAACATTTATTTACTCAGTCAGCTTTAATTTTTAAAAGATGCGTTGTCACTTTTAGATATTTTTGTATTAAGGAAAAGTCACGGCGTAATTTAGAAAACTACAAAACTGTTAAAGATAACGTTAAGCCGCAGACAAAATTTCTGTGTAAGGCTTCAATCTAATTAAGTAAAGCTAAACTTTTTTTGCACTAAGAAATAGAAATTCAGCTCTAGACGACATAACACAGATAAATACACACCGCCTATTTGCAAACAGAATTACCACGAAAATATACAGTTTTTTTGAAACAATATACTATAAGTTACGAAAAAGAAAAGAATAAAAAAGTTGGCTTAACAGCACTATCTGAGGAAATCAGCAAATACACAGTTAAAAAATCGTCACAAGAATTTTGCGTAAAATAGTGTGGCGCCATCACTCAATTGGAGTTTTACTTTAAATGAAAGTTTCTTCGAAACAAACTTTACTCAAAATAATTGATTATCTTGCAAAAGATGTAGATCTCTTACGATCAACATGTAACTTCATTTTTTAGTGATGCTTCCACAAGACTACAATTTTTCAAGAAATGAAACTGACGCTACAAAAACGTGGCTGACAAATTAAAAATTCTAGTCAGCAATGCAGTAAAAGAAAAAATTTTTTGATTTACTAGACCAGGTTAAGAAAAGAGAGTAACCTGAGGTACTCAGAAGCAAACAAGACTAAAAGCCTTTTGTTGGGTAAAAGAAGTCCAGTTTTAAGTATTAAAACGAGAGCTACAGAAAATTTTGAAAACATTATTTAGTCAAAAAAAAAAAAATTTGTTAGAATGACACAAACCCACGAACATTTTTTGTCTACTTTGACTCTAGCAACTTGTTGTTATTTATACGTATAAATAAAGTAGAAATTATAATGCTACATCTCTATGTTATGAGTTATATTCAATAGGCACTTAATTAGTGTTTGCAAATAAATATGAAAAAAGCATTTTATTACAAGCTTTTTACCTTTAAAACTAACACGCGATAAGCAACAGGTGCAGGCACATTAAATCGAGAAGAACTGAAAGATTTAGATTTGCAATATTGCAGAAATTTGTCATCTAACTTATTAAAGATCTATAGAACAATAATGAGGAAACGATAAAGTATAAAAAAAAATAGACCCTTGAATGTCCAAATTCAGTGTACAAAAAGTGCAAAGAAATGTAGCTAGCAAATATTTTGAAAAGGTAATTTCTTTAAAATATTTCTTTGTTATAAAATGTAAGTTTAATCTGTATACAAAATCATAACTTTAGTAACAAACCGCTGTCTGAAACTACTATAATTTCATTGTTCGTATTCTGCATACATCTGTCTTTCTTACTTTTAAAAAACTTAAAGAATCTTTGTTAGAGTACATTACTTAGCTGTTTTTTACATTGCTGAAATATAAGGCAGAAAATAATGAAAAGCAAAGTAACAAAAAAATTGGGAAGCATGCAAAAAGGTAAACCGTTTTTGTTGATCAACTGAGAAAATGCAGTTTTATTCGAAATTATGACAACAGTTATAAACGTAGCGGCCAGGACATCAACAAAACAGGAAAAAACAAAGAAATGATTGTTTCTGGAAGAGAGTTGAGTAATAATCTTTTTCTTCTACCTTTTTTTTTGCAATCAAGTTTGTCAAGTTTTTTTTACTTTAACTTTTTTCCTATTTCTACTTTCTGACCCACTCTTGCATTTCGTGCAGAAACCACATTTTTGATCTCCAGGTAATTGTTTTATTTGAACTTTCAGCAACTTAAGTTTTTTTCATTTTGTGTTACAATATACAAATTTTTACTACATATTTTCTAATATTTGTTTATATTGAACTATTTAATTATAGCATTAAATGATTCTTTTCTTTGAACCAAGCAGATCACTAGCTTTATCAACGCAGTTTAAACTCGCTCATGATTGAACACGCAGTTCTCACTTTTTATTCACCATTGTTCTCAACTTTTTTAAAGCATTTTTTTTCTAAAATTTTAGTTTAGTTTTCTGCTAAAAGTCTTATTTGGTTCAAATAAGACGACAGAGGTTTGCTACTTTTAAATATGTAACATAAATTTTAAAAATTTTAGTGCATTAATCTCTGCTTTCTTTTTTTTTTTCGCTTAAACTAATATAACAATAAATTTACTACTACTATAAGAAACAGAAAAAAAAGAAGTTATAAGCATCTTTTTTAAATTACAGTACTGTTATATTAATAAACTACAAAATTATTGCATTTTTCCGGTTTTTTATTTTTTTAATATAGAGTATTTTATTAATTAAAATTACTGCTTCTCTTTTAGAATTTTTAAACAATATGCTTGTGATTTTTCTACCTATCATCTTATCTATCTATAAACTGTAATAACAGTTACATTGTAGTATCGTAACATTTTGGTAAGATAAATCACAGCAAATCTTTTTGGTTTTCTCAAAGTTTTTGTGGAAATGCAAGTGGGAAAAACTAAAAAACTAAAAAAAAAGTAATTAGAGTTGCTAAAAGACCAAAATTTAGTGTTTTTAGCGGTACAAATACAAAGGTAAGAGAGGAAAATGAAGAAAGAATGTAGCTGTTGACTAAAGTGACATGTATTGCGAATTATTAAGCTACATTTATAAAGGATAAATTTGGTAGCTCAAAATCAGTGCAAATTTGTTTAGTGAAATAACATTCAAGATTGTTTCAGGTACTGAAAATAGCAAAAATAAACAGATAAACAAAGAGATACATAATTTGAGAACGAAAATTGAGTTTAAAATTTTGTGCAAACAACAAATACTATTATTACAAAAA